TCTCCTCAATTGCTGAAGAGAATATGTTTCCTGAGCATGAAACAATATCATTTTTGTGGGCAGTTTGGAAAGCGAGCGCGTGTACGACTCGAAGAAAAGCTCCCTTTCTGTGGCCTGTGCGGGGCTGGGTTTGGGGAAAGGGCTTTCTGTGGGAGTAATCTTTCAAAGTAGGAAGCAGAGCTCCCCCATTGCTCGGGAAGAATGGACCTCCAGTGGGCTAATATGTGATGGATGACTGAATGCAAACTTGGCAACGTTGCCCTCCGCTCCCCAAAGAATACAAAATGCCACTGCCTATTCGGGCACCGGGGCTCTCCCGTTGGAAGTGCTGAAAACTTGGCACCATCCCACCTTAGTTTAATTGAAACTGCAGACAATTAAGGATGGGAGCTCGGAGAAATTTCTTGCGACAAGATCAGCTCAGGATGGATTTGTCTTGGGTGATTGGCTCATGCATAAGCCAAACAAGAATATTAATGGTGAGTTATTTCCCACTGACTCCAAAACCTGAGCGGCAAAATCTCACATTTGTTTAGGAGGGGTGTGTTGGGAGGTGTAATTTATATTAATAAGTATTATTCAAATTCTACATCTGGATAAGCTCTCTGAAGCTATAGATGAAGGTTTTTTTGGTGTTATTTGTTCAGCAAAAGGACAGGCAGCATATAGGAGAGAGGAACAATGCATTTAGAAATCCAGGAAAATCTTACATTAAGGACAATTCTAATTATAAGGGCACATCTAGCATTCATTCAATGCTAAAAAGTGATGCTAATTCATTCAAACTTGGCCATTTTAGCAGAAGGATCCCCATCTATTCCCTCTTTCAGTGGCCAGACACTTCCTGCAGGCTCCAGAGCCACCTCTTGTCAGGCAGGATCCCAGGGACTCCTCCTCCCAGTCTGCCCATTGCACACCGTGGGGTTACATCATGCACTCAGGGATTTCAGAGGCTGGAACAATGCCCAGTCTCTAACTTTTCCCACATGTGGAAGGCTTTTAACTCCAGCTCTGGCTGGCCAGAGGGTCAGACACACGAGTGGACAGCGAGCACCGTGGGAGGGGAGGTTTCACACCTGTAGAAACCCTGAGCTTAGTGGAAACTGCAACCACTCAAGGTTGTCCCTCAGGGTTCTTCATTTCTCTGCTTTCCAGTCTCAAACAGCTGCCTTCTTATTTCCTTTTTCTCTTCACTATACAAAGAATTTTTTTGGGGGGAATAGCTAATAAGAGGAATTGCAAGTTCTCTGTGGCAGAGAGCATAATTTCTTAAACCTCCTCTCTCCTTCTAGTGAGGCTCTAAAATGCTGGAGCAATTATTACAACAATAACTAACCAAAGCCATGGACAACAAGTCCTCTTTAATATCATGCAGTTTAATGAACTAAATTGCATCTTAAAAACTCATAAGCAATCTGTACACATTCCGTATTTTGAGCTCTTGACCTCAGGTTATGGTGTTTCCTGTCCAGAACTAATTAGTTACTAATCCTATAATTGCTTGCAGTTTTGAAGATTTCTGAGCCTGGTAGATGACAAAATATTAACTTATTTCACTTAGATTGCTGTCTTCCTTAGTTTCCCATTTCAGCAACAATGATTTTTTCTGCAAAAAGACATCAGCAGCTTCCTTAAAACCACTAAGGGCAGCTATTACATTTTATAGTAGTTTCAGATGTCTAGAGTTCATAACCACAGGGTTAGATCAGAGCTCAGTCTTTGAGCAGGGTGTGCTAAACTCACACCAGTAATGAAGTCTGAGAAAACACACATTGGTAAATCAGAACCCAGTTTCAAAGCCCTGTATCTCAAACTGACACAGTGCAAAATGAATTCCTTTAATTATTGGAAAGCTGAGATTTCGAACTTTCCAGGGATGTAAATCATCAACTCCTAAGCCTGGAGTTTTATGAGCCACTAGACCTTAAAACTGTCAGTGGCCCTTCAGCTTAGCAGACTGTGATGGCACAAAGCCAAGGAGGAATTTATCAAGTCACAGGCTTCAAATGAGAGTAATTATTTAAGCACTCTGGATTTCTCAGGGCACAGAGGTAGGACAGGTGAATGTGTAGCTGATAACCAAGCAACCTCTGCATTAATTTTCCTTCCAAAGGTAATATTCCTCCAGGGATACCAGGGCTCTCTAAGGGATATGGGACTGGATGGAAACTCTTTCTCCTTACATCCACTTCCACCAGACACCCATTGTCCAACCCAGGACAATTAAATGCCATCAGAACCACTGAAACCTTTAGACAGATACTACAAGACTGGGTAAACAGAGGCACCGTGGTGTTGTACCAGGAAAACAGCACAGAAATGGCCAAGCTGGTTTTCCAAATGGTTTTGCCAGGAGGAATGAAAGGGTTAAAGCTCTGGCTCCAAAGCAGCATCACTGTTTCACAGACATTTCTGCTTTTTAGTTCTGCCTGACTCTTGAAAAGGATGAGAGTCCCAAAAGGCATAGACCCTGCCATTTAATCTCATTTTCTTATCAAAAAGTGAGACAATGCTCAAGAACAAACTTTGACAGTCTCTTTATAGCAAGCCAGAATGCCTTCACCCATGAATAGTCTTTGGCTTTTTTTAGATATTTTATAAGAAGCACTAATATGAAAAAAAGCTGAACGTCAAACCCCTTTAGAAATTTTCTTAGAGAAACATGATAGTTAAATTTGAGTGAATACTGAGGAGAAATGATTCAGTTTTAAAGAGCTGGGTTAATAAGAGAGGATGGCTTTCAAAAAGACTTCAGCTAACAGTTACTCAGAGTTTGTGGAGCACATTTTAGCCTGTGTTTAGGGATTTTCCCAGTAAATTCTAACACCATTAAGCATCACTATCTGAACAGGAGATTTGGGTTTGGTTTTTTTGCATATGCCCATGACCACTGTGTATCTGGAAGGGATTTCTTTAGCAGAATTTCTGCTTTCTCTCTAGATGAGACCTCCTGACATTCTCATCTGCAGGATGGGGGCTTTGCAGCAGATCCTTTGGCTCTTCCCCAGCTCTGAAAACACTGATAAAGTAACTCTAGTGACAGGATTAGGGGCTGGGACTTGCAAAGAAATTTCTCTAAGCTGAAAGGAGCCAGAGGATAAAATTAATGAGCAAAAAATATGGGAAGTGAATGCCAGTTTGGTATTTGGGATAGTGACTGTGGCTGGGTCAGTGAAGGGAGGCACAGCCCTTGTCACTCCTGTCCCATCACTCTGCTCAGTTCAGGTGCAAATCCTTCCCTGAGCATGGGGCAGCCCCTGCACTGGGAACACCCTGACAGCTCTTCCAGCTGCTCCCCAAATTCCCTGCCAGGGAAGGTGAGCTGCAGACAGACCAGTTATCTCCTCTTGGCTAAACACTTTCATCTGGTCAAACTTTCTCAGATTCAATTTGCCCCTGCGTTCTCTGTATCAGTAAGAAATAACCCAGAAGCCATCACATTTCTGCAAGTTCCCCTAGGGTTCAAAGGATGGTATTTAATCCTCATTTTCCACCTCATTTTTGGACTCCAACACCCCTAAACTGGTCTAGAGGAAGGTGTCCCTGCCCGTGGCTGGAGCTCTATGATCTCCAAGGTCCCATCCAACCCAAACCATTCTGTGATTTCACAGCTTTAAAAGGCAAATGCACAAACCCAGCACAATAAAACAACCCTCACATGTCACATTAATCAGAAAGTGTGTAAAATGAATTCCCAATGTTTACTATGGTCTTAAAAAATTAAACCAGGAGAGAAAACCAAATCCAAGAGCTGGATAGCAAGGCTTTTACCCAGACCATAGAGTTACATTCACCTCATTGTTTTTTGTTTTTTCATGAAGAAAAACTTTTATAAATGCTTTTATTCCGCTTTTTAATTTTATATTTCCACTGTGCAACACGACACATCATCATCATTTCAAAGTGAATATTCCTTTCCACAGTATGAGACAGACTTCTCAGAAGTTTAGATTAACTGCCAAAAACTTCTCTGTCCTGGTAGCCAGACAGAAAATCAGGCAGGGAAAACTCTGCAAAGGTGATGTAACACGAAGTCTTGAGTGAGTGAGTTTAGCTCCTAAATTAATCTAGAGTGTGTTCACCTTCTCCCAGCCAGCTTCTCCTTTTTAAGCCAATTTGAGCCTCTCTGGTAAGTGCAGACACAGTCATGCAGAAAATCTCAGTGCACCAGGGAGCAAGGAGCTGAGACACAGAGCAAGTGCCTCTGTTTTTCCATGAGGATGGAGAATTTCACCCTCCCGCTCCCAGAACCCACCCAGCAAAGCAGGGGTAATAAAATACCAGTTGAATCTTCCTTTGTGCTTTGCTCCCCACTGCAGCTAATATTACCAGACCTTTAAAAGCAACTGGAGCCCAGTGGGGGTGGGGAGGAAGGTGACAAAGGCTTTGGTGCAAAACAAAAAAAAAAAAAATGTGGGGACAGCAAATGACAAGCAGGAAGGGCCCGGCTCTCATCAGGTCACAGACAGGAGCACACGAAGGGTTGCTTGGGAGGGTTAAAACCTGCAGTGGATTTAGTCTGGTTTGCGAGGTGAGGATGGGGGAAGCATCTCTAGCACTCCAGGAGCCAAGAGGAAATCCCAAATCTGCTTTCCTGCCCTGCCTGTCAATCCAGGCTCTGTCTGTGCTTGTGTGGATGCCCGGCAGCCAGCCAGCTCCTGCTCCATTCATTCACTGGGTCGGGTGGATGTCACCGAGACTTTTCTGACATGACTGCACCGGACAATGCAGCCAGACCTCGGGGCAGGCGTGCTCCAACCCAAAACCATTCCCCAGGAACATCCCTGCCCATCCACCTGCACCCACAGCCACGAGGATGTGACAATGCAGCCAGACCTCAGGGCAGGCATGCTCCAACCCAAAACCATTCCAAGCAGCATCCCTGCCCATCCACCTGCACTCACAGCCACGAGGATGCGACTCGTGGTGATGCCAGAGCATGGGTCACTGCAAACTTCTGTGTGCGAGAACTTTTTAATTCAGGGGGCAAGCAGACTTACCTTAGAGACTCTGACAGAGCTTAGATCCCACTGTGAGCAGCCTCCATGAAATAAATACGGTGCTCAAAGCCAGCTGGGCTCTCCTGACTTTGTTGCCGTCCTGTCAAAACTCGGCGAAGTTGCGTTGTCCGGAGCCGTGTGCGAGCGCAAGGCAGCGAGCTTTGACAGCAAGGCAAACTGGTCACAGCAGCCAGATTCTGCTGGGTTTATATAGCTGAGCTGCAAATCCTGATCCTTGGCTCGTTCCACTGTAATAGGATGCCTGAAGGCATTTTTTTTTTTCAGTTTTGCTTTAAAGGAACAGCCTCTCTCTCCCTCTCTCTGGCGTGGCTTCTGAAAGGCGCACACACACACATGCTCACACACTCACGCTGTCATCCACAGGCACACACACACACACACACACAAAAAGAATTTGCATGCGATTTATGGCTAAAGAAGGAAACCCCCTGAACCATTCAAAAAGAAAGTCAGCTCAGGGCGAATGAGTCAGAAAGCAGAATATTTTCCCTACAGCATCAGCAGAGTGCATTATCAGGAGTTTTAATCCCCTCACCCCCATATATTTTAACGTTGTGAAATAGTAGCAAGCTTGCATGAAATCAGGGGAAATACAAGCAGGGTTTAAATTATAGGGACTCCTACAGAAATTAATGGGTTTAATGTCGGTGTAAATAGACCCCACTCCACGGGAATCAACTGCAAAATTCAGATTTACATAGAGGATCTGGCATATTCTCATCTTTTCAAGCCTGTGATCTCTTTTGTGTCCTTTTGCCCTCCTGCTCTGAAGAGCTGGGGGCAGAAACGTGGGGAATTCACAAGAAAAGTGAGCAGAGTAAAACAAAACACAAACAAAATAAAAATCCCCAAACTAAAATAGGAGAGATAAAAGCCCAAAGAGGACAACAGAGGAGGGATTCCCTTTCTTCTCAGATCAGATAAAAAGAGATTACGTGGCTGGCTGTGTGTACAGATAACCCAAGCACTTCTGTGAGCCTCAGGGCTGCCCTGCTTCCAACCCGGAGCTATCGGTGACACACAGAGTGCTCAGCTGGGACCTGCCCAGGGCTCTTTGTTGTCTCTCAGTTCCCCCCAACCTGAGGCTGGTGGCAAAAAAGAGAAGATCACAGTTAAAGGATTCTCATTAGCACGGATTTCCCTCTCCTGACACTAAAATCCTGTACCCCAGCCCGCTGCGCTCTGGGTTTCTGTTTCCCTTGGGTTCTGTTGTTGGGGAGGTGGTGGCAGAGGAGGAAAGAGGAAGATTATTGTTGAACTTTCAGGTCTGTCTTCCAGGAGAAAAGATGAAATCACTCTTCTGTTGGATGGTTTAGAAAGCAAGACTTACCCAAACATCTCTGAGGGCCATGAAAACACAAACTCCTGGGATCCTCCTCAGGAGCAAAGATGCTCATCAGGAGAAAGACTGATTTTTATCCTTATGAGCCTGGGAATTTCGGGTGATATTCCTCTCTGAAAACATCTCTCAGCTGGCCTTTCCCTGGCTCCATGGGCACATCAATGGATCTGTGTCAGACAGCTCAGGCTGGAGAGCAGGAAAGGTTCTTCCCCCAGAGGTGCTGGCACTGCCCAGGCTGCCCAGGGAATGGGCACGGCCCCGAGGCTGCCAGAGCTCCAGGAGCCTTTGGCCAGCGCTGCCAGGGATGCCCAGGGTGGGATTTTGGGGACTCTAGGAGCTGGGCTGGGTGGCCCTTGGAGTCCCTTCCAGCTCAGGGTATTCCATGATTGTGTAGTTCAGGATTTTTTTTCCTTTTTGCTCCTCCACAGCACTACCAATCCTACACATTTAGAAATGGATGGGGGAATCCCTGACCCTGAAATTCTATTTTAGAAGACCATAAAATACAGAGCTTTTTTGCTGAGCTTTTTTGCCCACTGAAATGCTTAAGTTTTCCTTGCTGTGTCTTTTTGCACACCATTGGCCCCCTGTATGCCTCCTGTTATATCTGATTATATCACTGAGCTCACCCCAAGCTCTCCACACACAGCATAAATTTTAGTCTTTTCCAAACATCAACACCCATTTCCAATTTCTGCATTAATTTTGTGAAATTCTGTGTTTCATAACAGTCATGCCCTCAGAGAAGAAATGAGCCTGTGATGAGAAGAGGGTCAGAAATATTACTGAATTCCTGTGAAAGGCTTTGAACCCTCCTTGAGCACCGATTTCTTAGAAGAACATCTTGTCTGGGCATCTCCAAGTGTGGGAATCCAGGGCTTCCCTCTGGCTGCCCTGG